TGGCGGGTCTCGAACCCGCGGACTCATGCAATCCACTCACCTCAGCCTCCCAAAGGCGCGGGATTACAGGTTGAGCCACCGAGCCCGGCTGCCTGCCCATTTTTTAATGGGGCTGTTTGTTCTTTTTCTTTTTGGCACGTTCCCTGTAGACCCTGGATGTTAGGCCTTTGTAGATATGCAGTTGGCAAATATTTTTTTCCCATTCTGTGGGCTTTCTCTCTGCTTTCTTGAAGGTTTTGTGCTTTGCAGAAACTTTTCAGTTTAAGGAGGTCCCACTTATCTATCTTATCTCTTATAGCATGGGCTTTTGGGGCTTTGATCAGGAATTGATTGCCTATTCTGATATCTGTAAGGATGTCTGTTGTGTTTTCTAAGGTTCTTAAAGTTTGAGGTTTTACATTTAGGTCTTTGATCCATTTGGAGTTGATTTTTGTGTATGGTGATAGGTAAGGATCCTGTTTCATTCTTCTGCACACAGTCAGCCAGTTTTCCCAGCATCATTTACTGAATAGGTTCTCCTCTCCCCAGTAGTTCTTTGAATTTTTACATTTGAAGTCTAAAATGAAAGCTGGAGAAAGTTTTGTGGCATAATACCAATGAATGTGTGAGATAAATAATGTAAGCCAGCCTACTTTCTAATCTATACTGACCTTGGTCTTTTCCTGTGGATAGACATCTATAAATGATCATTTGCATATCCAGGCCCTCCTGCAGCCAAATGTTGTCCATCACTTGAATAATCTGCAGAACAAGCATATCCTGACGAAGATCATCTCCAGCCTGTTAAAAACAAAATTATAGACTCTGGATTTCTCCTTGAGTTCCATTAAATGTATTCAAATATAGTATATGTCATTTCTTTTCTTGGATAAATTTCTAGCCTGACTTAGAGTGGTTTCAATTGTTTTATTAGCACTAAAAATACCTTGCGTTTCTGATAGAAAATCAAACGAAATGAGATTTTCTCTTTAAGTGATTCCAGAAGTTTCACCCATCAAATTAGAAGTGCTGCTTGGAATGTTGTTCCTCTATAATAATTTTCAATTTATTATCTACGTACAATTTCTAGTGAAGAGAGGCTGGACGAATGTTTATCCAGATTTCAACCCCAGTCAAGAGAGATCTCTTTCTAAGTGAGACACTATTTGGTATGCCATAAATTTATGCACTGATATGCAGTTAGAATACCAAGAGCTTCTTGACTATAAGTATAAATAGCATGCATATGACTTATCAGACTTTAAATCAGTTATTTCTCTTATTATGTAGGCAGTTAAAAGGTTTGCAAAGAAAACAGTTTTTGGTAATAATAAGAAACGATGAAGGAGCAATTTTCTTGCATAGGTAAAGGAAATGGAATATATTCAAAGGGGAAAGATAGTTCTACATAACAAATGTACGGTTTGGTTTTAAAAACAATTTCTAAATTATACACAAAAAATCCTGCCAAAATGAGATTTTGTGGCTTGTTTTCTTCCCTCCTCAAAAATATGATATCTGGCAACCACCAATTTTTGAGGTTACACAGGACAAAGCATGTGGACACTAATCATTATCTTCCAAAATAGACAGACTTCACCAAAAATTCACTCTGTGACCTTTTTGCATCCTTGCCTGAATAATTGATTAAATACACTGAGTGACTTAATTCTTATATTTTTACTTATTGCTCTTTCTTTGTTCCATCTATCCTATGTATCTATAACCTTATTACTACTTTTTACTATACTTTTTCCCCATGGGATTCCTAATGAGGACTGAAATGGCCGATGTATACTTTTTATTTAAAAATAAGAAAATAGCTCAAGTTACTAACATAAGCAAGTGGTATGAATTTGATGTTAAATTAACTTATGTCATTTGGGGTCCAGTTAATTTTTATTCTATTTCAGTATCTAGACCAAAAGAAAGCTCCTCCTAGGTACACATCACACATTCTACTTTCTTTTCTTTTCTTTTTTTTTTTGAGTTAGAGTCTCGCTCTGTTGCCGAGACTGGAGTGCAGTGGCCGCCTCTGGCCATCACAGCCTCAACCCTTGACTTGCTGGGCTCCGGCAATCCTTCTGCCTCAGCCTTCCAAGTAGCTGGAGCTACAGGCATGCGCTACCACACTGGCTAATTTTTAATTTATTGTAGAGATGAGGTCTCGCCAAGTTGCCCAGGTGGGTCTCAAACCCGCGGGCTCAGGCAATCCACTCACCTTGGCCTCCCAAAGTGTGGGATTACAGGCTGAGCCACCGAGCCCGGCCTCATTCTACTTTCAATACCACTTAAAAGTGATCATATTACTTCATTTATTGAAACATATTCTCTTACATTTTACACTGAAGGTCCCCTGGCTTTGAGCCGGTAATATTTGATTTACTGCCAATCATAGTTTGGCATGTACTAAATATAATTCTGTAAAAAGGTAGAATAGAATCTAAACTAACCGGAAAACCTCTGTGTTTTTGCCAGAGAAAAATAGCTACAATAATTTCTTTTTGTGAATAATAAATCAATAGTTCTGACTATGGAATCAATGTGATGTTTTAGGAGAGCTACCATACCTTAAAAATAATGCTGATGTTTTTGCCCATTGGATTAGCATTGATGAAAGTAATCTTCAATGGCAAAGCATTCGATGTGAAATATGAACATGCCTATAGGAAAATAAGAGAAAAACAGTGAACAAAATAAAAGAACACTTTTCCCAAAATCATAGCCCCTTCTATAATTTGTTATAGGAGCAAATAGAGCAAATATAAAACATATGAATAATTTTTATACTTTGGAATACAGAAAGATATTTGTTTAAAAAAAAATTAGTCTATCAACCAAAGCCTTTGTTTTGAAATCTAGATGTCGGCTTTTTGGCAGGTTGTAAATCTTCAACTACAATTTTTTCCTTGCTGTACAGTGCTAATATGTTTGAAGCATAAATAAACTAAGAAGTATGCCAGTATTATGCTCATACAAGTTGGCTAATAAATATAAGTTAAAATTACAATTAAAAAATTTTCCTTTCAATTAATTTCTGCCTTGTAGCATACTTTAAGAAAATATGGGTAGAGAATTAAGAAAGACCTGAGTTCAAATCTGAGTTCTACAAGTTGTTTACTGTGAAACTTTGAACAAGTTACTTAACATGTTTGTATTCCACTGTAAAATGGAGTAACCAATCCTTCCCTCACACATTTGTGTAATAGATATATGAGCTAAATGATGTAAAATGCTTTTTATGGTGCCTGATACTAATATCAGATACTTTGAAAAATGAATACATTTCCTTTGATTTTTGTAAAATAACAGTATAACATTTTATATCTCTTTTCTTTAAATTACACTTTGAATTTTCATTTTTAGTTTTGTGATTTTGACTACTTTCCACTCTGCTTTTCTAGTTGCTTATTTTCCTTTTATTTTCTCACTATTTCTTGAGTGTTAGAAGGCTGAATGTGGTTAGGTTCAGATAGTTTATAACATTGAAGAGTTGAATTAGTATTAAAGAAAGGAAAAGGAGCTTATGTTTTCAATTTGTCAACTTGGTAAAATATGACATAAATATATGTTGAAGCATCCATTTGAACATAGTTTTCTCCAAGAAGTCTGAAATCAGTAGAAGTTGAGAAGGAAAGAATCAACACAAATCTAACCTAATCCCTAATTAAATACAAATCCTTGCTGACTGAAGCAATTTGAGTTTTATAGTTTTATGGGTAAGGCTGCTTGTTAAGTAATGAAATTCTGTTGCAAAAATGAGATAATTAGGGTTCATATAACCACTTATCATGGTATAGAATTAGAAAATTCTGTCTTAGGCAAGAAATGAGTATAGAGCAGTGGTTTTCAAACTCTACTAATTAAATTTGTGAGGATTTCTTTAAATTATCCCAAACTCATGGAAGCTGAAGTCAAGGCTTAGCCTCTCTTCTTAACTATGTCACCCAGAGATATTCTGCTTTATCATTTCATATCTTGATTGTCACAAGTTGTATATTTTTTGAGTCATGTATAAAATATTATATAATCAGCAAATAGTATGCACACACTATTAGCTATATGCTAGCAAAAAGAAACACCATATTTACTCTCAAAAAGCCTATTAAATGTAGATTGAATGAACATTAAGTTGAAAATAATTTGCAAGACAATTTATCACAGTTGAATGAAACCACATTAGAAAAAGGAAATCTTTCAGAGATGGACTGGATCATGAAGATTGTGAGGGACATAGATTAGCAAATAAAAATTAAAAAAGATTTTCTAGGTAGAAAAAGGCAAATGATGAGATGCTAGATTAGAGTAAAAGTCAGAAAGTGGTTTGTGATGGCCATAGCCAAAAGACGGGAACAATTAAGCAGAGTCGTGGTGTGATTTTATATAAATGGTAAGATAGAAAAGCTGGAATGGAGAAAGGAAGATATGACCTCTGCCCTTGAGAAGCCCACATAAATAACAGATCTAAAAATTGGTTGAAAAAGAAACTTGTAAGTAAATGAAATGTCTGATTTGTGTTTTCCCAATAGTGGGAAAGGATTACATTGTTTCCCCCATTCTCCCACCCGGTTCCTTCCTTAGTGACTCCAAGAGAAATAGAAAATGGTCCCCTGTGATTAGTAGTTGTCAGAAGGTGAGGACAAAGGCTGACAATTCAGTTTATAAAGAAAGTTTAGCTCAGACCTAAGACTCTTGCTTTTTGCCTTTTAGAATCTGTGTTTTTAAAAATGGGTTGAGCCAGGCCTGAGTACTTCAATCCAGCATAGTTGACAGATGGTGATAGAACACATTAAAAGTTTTCCAACTCTCACTCCATGCAGAGGGCTTCTTTCCGTGTGAACTCTCCAGTGCACTATAAGCTATGAGATATAATGGTTCACACAATCACACATGAGCTTTTTCACAACTAATGCATTTATAAGTTTTCTCCCCCAGAATGGGTTCTCTGATGTACAATAAGATTGGGAATATAACCAAAGATCTATCCATACTCAGATTCCGAGGGTTTTTCACTAGTGTGAATTCTCTGGTGTACAATGAGGTATGACTTTTGATTGCAGATTTTCCATGCTTATTATATTTATAGGACTTTTTGCCTGTGTGAGTTCTCTGATGTAAAATAAGACATTTCCTGAGACTTAATGCCTTGCCACTCTGCATTCAAAAGTCTTTTCTCTGGTATGAATTTGCTCATAGTCAACAAATTAAGAGTTTTGATTTAAAGTTTTTCCAAACTGCCTACATTTCTATGCTTATTATATGCTCCCCAGTGTGGATGCTCTAATGTTGAATAAGACACTTACTTTGAATGAAGGCCTTGTCATATTCATTATGCTTATAAGGCTTCTCCCCAATGTGGATTCTCTGATAGTTGATAACGGTTCTATTAGAATAGAGAGCTTTCCCATGCTCATTTTAACTGTGAAGTTTTTCACTTCATTTTTCAGCAGGATTGAAAGATGGACTAAAATATTTCCCAGGAAGGTGTCCTCTGGCTATGTTTGTTGTGTTCATTGCTGTACCCACAGGTACCTTGTATCAGGCATGGTTGGTCAGAAAAAAATGGTATTAGGAGGAACTGCCTGAGGCGGCTTCTGTTATGGAAAGTACTGCTGGCTGCAGGGTATTGCAGGGGAGGAGTGTGGTCCCATTCACAGCACTGGAAGTGGTGATTCCTGGAGAGGTGACCCCTGGTCCAGCTGACTCACCCATGCACCTGTTCCAAGCCCACACAAGTCAAACTCTTATGTAATTTTAATTGGAAAAATTTGTTCTATTTCTTAAAAGCAACAACAAATTAAGAAAACAAAACCATCACATGGACTCAGTGATTTTGTTCCTTCTACGTTAAGGTACTATGTCTTTGAAATGATAAGTTGCTATATATGTTCAGCATTAGTCCGAGAATACTGCTAATGATGAAAAATTGCATAATATTTTGAAAACTAGTAATGATTTGGATTTCAGCCCAGATAAACTTATCTCAGTTTATGGATTTGAAGCCTTATTTTGTTATTTAAAAAAATATGTTAAAGAAGTTTATCAGGAAGATTTGCAAGGCATCTTGGTAGTGACAGAATGATAAAGATGATTATATCAACTTTTTTAGCAAAACATTTTACATTTATACTAATATTAGTCTAATTTTCCTCCTAAATTTTGGTTTTTTTTTACTATCTCGTGACTTCAGTTAAGATACATTTATTGTGCATGCATGATAGCTTAACCTCTTCACTTTCAAATCTCACTTATCAATCATTTTCTCTATTAGTGTCTTTCTATGCTCTGGCTTTTGAGAAGGAGGAAAATAAAGCTTATGAGGAACAAAGGGGAAAGAATGATTTTAAGTCAGAGAATGGTGACTGAGGAGGTACCACGTGACAGAGGATTAGGAAAAGAAGGCTTAGGAAGTTGTGGATCTGACAATGCCAAGAAGGGCTTATCAGGCAAGAGTAAAATCACAAAATATATTATATGACACACTGACATTTTGGCATTAATGAGTTTTAAATTGAATCAAAGTGAAGATGTCGTAGCTAATGATTAACATTAGTGTACTAGGCATGGTTATGTACATGGTCTAAATAAAGCATGAAATTATACTCAGCCTTCATGGAGTCACCAAATCAACGATTTTGAATAAGACAAGAAATCAATCCAGTGATAGATACCTTTATTAATTCTTTTTCAGTGACCTGATAGATTCTTTGTTTCCAAAATGAGCAAACCATAGGAATAGATCAAAGTGATCCCAACTAGTCATAGTGGACCAAAGGGAATTCACAGTGTGAATGGCATTAAGCCATTTTTTACTTAAAATAATTGCAATGTTAATTTATAAATTTTTTTGCCACTTCAAAGATATACAGTGAACTAAACAATACAAAACATATATACTCAATTTATCTGCTTAATACGTTGACTCACGTTATGATCAATCCCTTTTATACACAGGGCAGGATTCAGAGGAAGGTGGCAAGCATTTATATCATGAAAGAATTCTTGTAGTCTGCCGATCTCTTTCTTCAGTACCTCCTGTAAAAAATCATTTAAAAAATCGAGAAAAATGTAAAGAACTTGATTTTTTCCTCCAATTTATATTTTCTTCTATTAATTAAATAAACTGTTTAATTCAGGGGTTGCACACTTGGATGACTTTGGGGTCAAGCGGGTCATATAGTCATGTATGAGGAAGCAGCAGGCTAAAGACAACAGGGGATGCTGGGGATATGGGGCACAAAAGAGTGTGTGTCCTTTCTAATGGACCTCAAATTCAACTGAAAATAAAAACCAAACAAAGTACTATACTGTTCAAACAAAGCATAATAGGTTGGACTTGACTTGTGACCCACCAATTTGCAACCTCTGCTTGAAGTATTTATTAACATGATCCTGTTTTGATAATTTCCTGAAATCTTAGTTTGTAACTCTCTAGATTTACACTTAATAGTAATAGTGTATATTATATGATGAGCTAATTGTATTAATTGTATATATCATACAATCATGTATGATTTATATTATTATAAATTACAGTTTTTGTATTTTGCATTTATTATAATATATAAAATATAATATTATAATTGTATTATATATGTGGCATACAATTATTATAATTATAATAAAATAATTATATTGCAATATAATTATCAAATGTACTATAATTATATTATATACTATATCATATAAAATATTCATGTACATTAATAACAATAATGACAAAAAACAACAATTACATAATGCTGTCAAAAATAATGAAATATGTGAACTAATTGTTTATTTGTTGCCAGTGAGTATATTTCTGATATCTTCTCCCTTTCATACTCCACAGTGCCTGTGGCAGGTTGGAAACCACAAACAACACCTTTAGAAGTGTGTATCTTCTGACAGAGAAAGGTAGAAAACAATAACAGTTCATCACAAAACAAAAAGAGCTCCTTTTAGCCTACTTTTGAAAACTTTTTAAACCTCAGCTGAAGATGAGGATCTCAGATAATGTTTAATGAACTCACAAGAGTTTCTCAGTTCTTACTCCTGGCTCTTTGGCGAATAACAGGATCTACCACTCCTTGAACCCAGGAACAAGTGGAGACATGAGACAAAAATTCCATTACTGTGCTTTTTGTGTGGCTGTTCTGTGCCTTATCTAGACTTGAGTTTACCTGCTGAATATCATGGAGGAGAATCTCTGCTCCCTTTGTTTAAGAAAGACTTCTTCCCATTTCATATAGTTAGGTTTAGTTAGTACTTCTTTAAAGCAGAAAAAAATTAACTATCAATTACTTAAATTTTGATAAATTATCTTTATTAATTGTGAGAAATTATAACTGCCTCACCCACCTCTTGCTTTTTCTCTATTTTCACGTGAAAAGTGTTATCACAAAAGCAGTCAGTCAAGGTAAGAGGAATATATTTACTTGAGTAAATAATATCAATATCATTTTGGAACTTGTAGCAAATGGTCAAAAAAGGCACTGAAATTGTTTAACTAGAATGTGTATTTTAAATACATGAGGGATTCTAAAACATGAGACAAAGACTAAACCTACACACAAACTTAAATTAACTTATTTTACATGCTATCAACTTTTTATCTACCGTTAGAAAATAATGAGCTTGCAGTAATGTGGAGAAATCAGATTTTTTTTTTGCACTGTGCATTATGTTATATGCCTTACGTTTCCCCTATGTTCCTAGAATTTCTGCATCTCTCATTTAAAAACAAATTTCAAACTTTTGGTTTTCATTTTCCATTGTATCCTAAGTAGGTGAAATGGCATAGCTTCTGGTATTTTCTATTAAATGAAGTGACTTGCATCAAGAAAAATCCTGGGCTGGGAAAGAGTTCTGGAACACTTTGCTTATTACTATTTTCATATCATTTTATTGAAAACTCCTGTTGATTTTAGACAGTGAGTAGAAAGAAACTATGGGCCAGGCTCGGTGGCTCAGTCTCTAACCCCGCGCTTTGGGAGTCTGAGGTGAGCGGATTGCCTGAGCCTGAGGGTTCAAGACCTGCCTGGGCAAGTTGGCGAGACCTCATCTCTACAATTAAAAAAAAAAAAAAAAATTAGCCTGGTGTGGTAGCGCGCGCCTGTAGTTCCAGCTACTTGGAAGGCTGAGGCGGAAGGATCGC